AGTGAAAAAAAAATTGTGCCGTTTGGACGTCTCTATGAAAAGGTACAATTTTCGAGTTCAAATTAGAAAACGCCAAAATTAATTAATTTGTCGCTTTTCTCGAAAACCATACCTTTTCATTGAGACGTCCAAATAGCACAATTCTTTCTCAGATGCAAAGAATAGGTCATAAAACTTATGTGCTGGCAATTTCAGATTTTTTGCAGCGTCCCAGATTTTTGGCAACCTATCTAAAAATGATCAAATCTCAAGTGGTCTCCTTTTCCCATTTTTATCTCTGCAACGAATGTATAGTAGAAGCTCAGCAAAATACCACTACAGATAGGAAATCTTCTTCTTTCTAATGAAATTAGAAAGAAGCAAATCCGTTGAATCAGCAAAAAGTTACAAATTTTCACGACAGAACTTTCGGGAAAAGCTAATACCACACTTGATCAAACAGGATTAGATAAAAAATTTGTAAAGTTGTGCCTGCGTACAGACTTCAGCTCTTCAGCTCTAGTTCAATTCAGAAAATTTTTGAAAAAAAGCAGCCAGACTCAGATCTGACATTACGATGATAGTGGTTAAAGAAAACAGATGCATGCTTGATTCGCCTTCAATCCCGTTTTGGATCCATTTGGCACTGACAATCACGCCTCATTAATTTTGCGCAAACTGTAGATAAACTAAAACATTTTTGTTTCACCATTGCGATAGCAACTTCCCAAATTCCAAGTTTCACTTTAGTACTACAGTACTAACGTGTAACACTTTCGATGTTCTGTTCTACTATCACTTTCGAAGTTATATCGATTCTTGCTTGATGCCCCCGGAAAGCTTATGGTTCTAAGAGCTTCGCTCAGATCCGACACTGTCATGTTCGGAAAATGAACACAGGGTTCTTCAACAGAAAAAATGGTAAATTGTTAAACTTTCATCTCTTCTGGGTTCCACTGCCAAGCTCTCCGATGATAGCCCGTTTGACAGCATAAGAAACAAAGGCAAGAAAGCAAAAAACAGTAACGTGAAATTTGTCATTGTCAATCATTTTGAACTGCGAGGCTTTGTACTGGCACTTGAAAATGCCAAAGAAGCCTACCTGGTACAAGTCAAAGTCAAAATTGCACATGAAAGGGCTCGGACTTGTAAATTAAATAGCTTCAAGCCTTTGACCGCAGCAAACTCAGGCCTTCTACGAGTTGTTTCCTAGACAGCTTATGGAAGCCGTTGTCTGATTCTGAACTTTTTCTTTTTTACTCAGAATTTTCAAAATTTTATTTTCTACGCTTTTGAAAGTCTAGATATTTGAGACAAATGACCACAGCTAAATACGAATACGCAGTAGAATGCTGTGCTGCTGACTTATATAAAAGGAAGATAGTCTTTCAGGAGCAGATGTTAGATGGATTTGCCAACTTCCTGGTAAAGCAAAACCGTCTAGGCGTAAAACACTACCTAGACAGCAGAAAATGAGCTTATCATTAGTAGCGACGTCAGAAATCAAATTCAAACCGTCATGCTTCCGAAGCAAACTACATACTTTCACAAAAGAGACTGAGAGTAGATCAAGGATTTTATAGAAGCGACTTCTGTCAAAACAATGGAAAGTAACGTGTAGTGCATAGTTTTTTGCCGTGAAGATTTGATAATTGTCTTTACCAATCCTAAGAGATTCATTACACGCCGTGGTCTATGAACATTGAGCCAAACACTAATGAACTGTTTTTCAGAGAAATGAGCTACCCTCTTGAGAATTATGAACTATGCAACCCACTATTTACTAACAGAATGTGGCTTTTAGGCTAATGGGTAGTTCGAAATGTTCTTTCAATGACACGGAGATCGAAATCGAATGCGAAAAGATGGCTGGTCTGGCGTGTGCTTACTGCGCGATGGTGGCTATTGAATATGCTCTTTGGCTTGAAAGATTTAATCTAAGCCAAATGATATAAGTTTGCCAAAAAAAACAATTTCGGTCGCTTTTGCGGCTCCTACAAATGCTGCAGGCAAGTTTTTGTTGGTGTTTAGTATCTTTACAAAAAGCACTCTAGTGAGATTTGAACGTAGACCTCATTATGCACAAATGTAAGACGATTTTCATTTAGCCTTTAGCCCTCGGACAGAGTTCACACGATTTGATCGTCGCGATTCAATCGCTGCCGACAAGTGTTACAAGTTTATTGCATGCCGATCTTCTTAAATTTCAGTTGTGTTTTTTCCAACATGACTAATAGTAACTAACTATCACAACCGAAATACAAGAAGTTCGGCATGCAGTGAACTCGTAACACTTGTCTGTAGCGATTGAATCGCGACGATCAGATCGCTTGAACTCTGTCCGAGGCCTTACCGTTATCCAATAATATAGACACCAAATTACCCCCTCTATATCTACATATCATAGCATCATAGCATGAAAACGAAGCCAGAGAACTAAGCTTTGAAAATTTTAGCCGCATTGGGGCATAACTCCATTGCTATTAGTAAATTTCAAAGTAGCATATGATAGTAGAAGCTTCGTACTACCTCCTCTCAAAAAATCATGGAGGCAACAAGAGATGTTCTCATGGAGATTTGCATGCCCAAACAAAACTACCTCATAGGCAACCTGATGACAAACCAAAAAAATAATGTTGTTTCAAGGGCTGCGAAAAAGCAACATTCCTGGACGATAGATATGCAAAATTTCAGGAGCTTGATTAAGAATCTGGGCTATACTCCTCGTAAATATGGCAACATTCGACTAATACTACGTGCTCCGGTACCAGACAGCCTTTTTGAAGCAAAAATTATTTCTCTGATTTCAGCGTTGAAAGACTTGATCAATATAAATGTTGACTGACAGCCACTTTCGATGAAGAAATAACACAGAACTTTTTGAGCGACTCAACATATGCTGAGGTTTGATAAGTTCTAAGATACGCCAAAATCAGCAAGCTGCTAGGATACACTTCTTGTGCTTGTTATGCTATTTCCTTTGCGAGAATTATTTCTCACCAAAAACAAAGCGGTAGACGATCACCTGCGCTATGAAAACAGTTATGAGGTCTAAAATATTAGGTTGTTACATAAGTCTTGTTACACTTAACTTCTAACGGCGATAACTCATACACCTCATAGTCTTTGCAGGACTCCAAGGTACCATTCGATAGAGCAAAGCAAGCTCTACAAAATGGTCTGCAAAAATTCGCACCAGCTCCGACCCACCGTAAGTTTGCACCCAAATCTGAGTCGCACTGAAATTCAAAAAATCGCGAAAAATTCATATCTTTGTTCAAACAAATCCTACGAATCTCCAACTTGCTCAAAAGAATTGCACACTATATCAAACACTCATATGTACTGTTGCTGTATTTTTTCCTTATCTAGAAATCGAGAAAAAGAATTTTTTTTAATTTTTACAAAAACGAAGCTATGCTGTTTCTATTCATGTAGCTGTATATTACGAGCTCTTAGAAGTATGACCGTAAATTTTCAGCTTCCCAGAAGCCCTAGTTTTCGAGAAATACCTAATTTAGCATTGAACACCCGAATGATTGAAGCTAAATTTGATATTTCTCGAAAACTAGGGCTTCTGGGAAGCTGAAAATTTACGGTCATACTTCTAAGAGCTTGTAGTATACAGCTACATGAACAGAAACAGCATAGCTTCATTTTTGTAAAAATCAAAAAAAAATTCTTTTTCTCGATTTCTAGATAAGGAAAAAATACAGCAACGGTACATATGAGTGTTTGATATAGTGTGCAATTTTTTTGAGCAAGTTGGAGATCCGTAGGATTTGTTTGAACAAAGATATGAATTTTTCGCGATTTTTTGAATTTCAGCACGACTCAGATTTTGGGTGCAAACTTACGGTGGGTCGGAGCTGGTGCGAACTTTTGCAGATCCTCTTGTAGAGCTTGCTTTGCTCTGTCGAATGGTACCTTGGAGTCCTGCAAAGAAGACTATGAGGTGTATGACTTATCGCCGTTAGAAGTTAAGTGTAACAAGACTTAGTAACAACCTAATACCATTAATAATGAAATAGAATTATTTCTAAGAAATCAAAGTCAATAACAGAAGCAAGCTAATCGCATTTTTTATTCACTTTGAAATTTCCGCGGTCTCTTTTTACTCATTTCTTCCATACAAAGAGAATGGATGCCTAATTCTCAACTTTTGTGCTTTTTTGCGCTTTCTTACTTCACATTAGTTACTAGAATAGAATCTAACTTGCACTTATACTGCTCTTAGTGTTTAAAAATGCACAATTCATACTGCGCCCCATCTGATGCGGTGGCAGTTTGTACACATGCCCAGAAACCCTCACTAAACTCACTGCTTTTTTTACTTAGTGGAGCAAAATGCATGAGAAAAAAAGCTAAAAAGCGCTAATCTTATCCTTCCCGCTGCCAGCGAGATCGAAAATGGTGCACGTGTTATGGATGGTTCGGCTTCCACACCTAGTACGAAATGACTCGAATGTAAAAATCTCTATCGTAACTACACAGCAATTATAAAATTACATGACACTTCTGCACTTCGAAACAGTGAATTGCTACTGGACTAGGGGACTTCTGCAAGTAAGCGCTATATTTGAATTTGAACTTGTTTTTAGCCAAAAACATCTAAATATGAAACACGAATTCCATATGGTTTCTTGTATTCCCCAAGGTTATTCCACAAAATCTCTGTAAGTGAAACTTTAGGGTTCAGGCACTAAAGCCAAAAACGATTATCATTGCACCCCGCTTCATACTTACACGGCCTTTTCGAGTCCCGCGATGTTTATGAAGATGCGAAGTGCAACGCACGACGAACGAATCTCTAGCGCGCTCCGCGGTAAAGTCTGATGTAAGATCGCCCTTTAAACTTTTCGATAGAGCAGTTCAAACGGCAAACAGGTTTTGTTGTTTACACACTCGTCTCAAGAAGTTTTCGCACTTGTTGTTTCTATCATCTCCTTGGTTATCTTATCACTTTTTCGGATACTTTGTGAGCTTTTGTGGTTCTGCTATTTACGAAAAGAAGCCAGTCATTTTTAGAAAGATGAGTCAGCGTTATCCGTCTTCGACGACAGCTACTCCTCAACGTCGACCACTGAACCCGGAGAATGTTCCAAATGTTTTTCTTGGCGTCGCGATTCAGGTGGCTTTCACACTTGTGTATTATCATATGTTTATTTTGAAAATTAAGTATTCGAACTTAGTGCTTCTGTGAAGTTGTATTTTCATTGTAACAATGAACCGCTGCTTTGTTGTTTCATACCAAACGAACTACTTCTTTGCTGGATCTGGTTGGATCAGAGATTGTACGCCTGAACTTTGTGTTGACGAAATCGTCTATGCGCTTCTTTGTCTTTTTCAAGGTCATTCGTACTAATTTTCTAGCGCTGTCTAATACTTATTGCGTCACAGTTTTACTTTTCTCGTTTTTGCTTTCTAAGTTTTTAAGTTCCTTTATATGTGGAAATGTAGATATCACCAGTTTCCATTTAGTCTCAATTTGATTGTCCATTGCAGATTGCTCGAAAGTTCCTTTTTATCGATCCGAGGAGAAAAGCGCTGGCATGCTTAGCATTCGTTTCGCTCCTTTCAATGATTGGCTCTTTTATCACTCTCGATGATAGTTACTATCTCGTCCAAGTAAGTTTTTTTGTGTAATAAGCGGTTTGACAACAACGATTCAGTTCATATCTAGAAGCACAGTATCCTTAACCAATACGGGGTGAAACTAGGATGGATGTGGACGTGTTTTGCTGTAGGACCCTTTATATGGTTTGCTTCAAGGGCGCATCATAGGTTTGTCTTGCTAAGTTTGGAAAATCTCTTATAGCCTAGCCAAACTAGCCATTTTAGCGTTACCAAAATTTCTTGAAGATCCTGATCTTTTCAGGGATAAAGACAAATCCGTCATTGACATACTGCGACTCGCAGTGGCCACAGGCGTCTGGTATATCAGCGTGGGATTGTGAGTTTTTATGTAGCTTTCACATAGTAGTCTTCTATTTGTCTAGGAAAACACTTTTTTTTTCAAAGTTACTAAAATCAGCATTGGTACTGTATTATATGTTGATCAAATGAAAGCCATTCAAGATTCCATCGCATAACAGAATGGACTTCAAGATGTGATTTGAGCGTGCGTTATTCGCGTATGCTATGCAAGGAAAAGGGAGGAGTATGGATACCCGGTTTTGATGTTTCTGGTCATTGTTTCCTGTTGATTTACAGTATGCTAGTCATGGCAGAAGAGGTAAGTATGACGTTTGGTGTCAGTCATTTTGCAGTAGTTCACTATCGTCGTCTTTTTATTGACACTGTCTTTATTGGTTTGAACACCAATTTAGGCTAACGCATTCCGCGAATGGCATCAAGTCGCCCATCGCGATGATGATGCTGGGTTGCTAATGCGAGAGAAGCAGGAACGGCGAACTAGGCTGGCTCAGTATTTTATCGTTGCGATGTTGATTCTCAACATTATCTGGGTGGGTTGCTTGCGTTGGAGTAGAATATATGTTTTTACGTAAGAACTCTCTTTCTTTTCTCCATTTACCTTCTTAGGAAACTTTGTTTTGTTGTAGTATAGGGGCCTGCAGGATCGCGAGAGTCGAACGTGCGTACGGCCATTGCGCCGCGCACGTCAGAACTGCGTGCGACGGCCCAGGTAAGTGCCAGACTTATCCTGTTGAACAGGTTCATTCGTCTCACCACCTTTGCTGTTGGACAGTGTAGTGATTTGACCTATGAACGAAACGAACGGCTGAAGTGGATAAGTCTGGCACTTGCCTTAGTGACATCGGACGTGCGCCGCGCAATGGCCGTACGCACGTCCGACTCTCGCGATCCTGCAGGCCCCTATACATGGTGCTCCAAACTTTCATTATTTGTCAGTAGATCAGCTTTACCTACACCTCTCATTCAAACCAGTTTTGATTCAGTCTCACATCCGGTTTATCTGCGATTCTGGGATCATCACATTACATGCTCATTTTGGTTTTTTAGATCAAGCAGTTGATCATCTCCATTCTCTACTATCACATAATGATTGATAAGGTAAGAATATCTTTGTTTCTTCTTTTTCTTGGCTATGGCATTGGTTTCTAAAGTTTGCGTTCCCAGTGATGGATTTCTGACTTCGCTTCCAGGTTGTCGGCGCATTAGTAGCTATCTTTTGGTGGTACCTCACGTATCATGTGCTCTATCCAGCCGGTTTTTTGCAGCCACCAATTCATAGGATGAAGCCTAACCCATCCGTGCGTAGGCGATAATCTGTCATTGAACTGTTGATCCTAGATACTTTTTCACGAACAGTTAGTGATATGTTGTTTCACTGTTTGTCATTTTCTTCTCTATACTTGTTTTTGGGGGTTTTCCGATGCTATTAAGCTCACAGAGCAATAAGTTTAGCATCTCCATATTCAGGAATCTCCCTGCTAGTCAGGAACGCTTCCATTGTTTCAGTCACAGTTTTGTTTTGCTTCAGTGTGGCCGTTGTCCTCAGCTCGCTTGCCTCCGTGGCATGTGTGCCAATGTAAATGTTTTGCCTTATATAGTCTAACTTTCATAGATTTTGAAGAGTTTGTACATCTAATAAAGTTTGGAGGTTTTTTTCTAGTAATTTGGTTATCGAAGTATGGACAAGGACGCATGGATGAACAGACTACCTTTTTGAACTAAAATCTCTCCCCCCCCCCCCCTATCTTCCTGAGAAAAGTTTGGCAGAAACAGAGAGCAGATTTGGAGTCAGCGCTTCAAAAAGGGTCTAGTAGTATGCATATCACTTCACAAAACGCCACGGTCACCAGTATCCTTTCATGGTAAAAGAAGAGGGATGGGTGAAAATTTTTGTTAGCATTTTTGAATACCGAATTGAAACGATAATGGATGTCAATTAACCCCCCCCCCCCTCCAAAACTCGGCAATAAATGCAAACAGTAATTGAGATTTGCTGTGAACCTGTTCTCTGCTTGCTCCAAAGCACTACCTTGGTGTAAATTTTCACCATCTCCCTCTCAGTTTCTACAAAAGCATGTATATGCGATTCATTGCACGCGCAGACTGGACGCCGTGGCACCGACTTAGATAGTTCGTGCATGGGAGAGACAGTAGACCGTAAGAATGAAAGAGCGCCCGATCAGCGAGACGCCGACAGCATCCATGGTTACGCCCTGTCTTTACGCGTTAGAATCGCTTATACGTATGTGGGGTATATGTAAAGAAGCGCGATTTTCATTGCCAGATGGATACCTAATAGCGCAAGTTCAGTGTTTTACAGCGTTTTGAAGGCCCTTCGAACTTTTAGGGAAACATAGAAGATCGTTGCATAAGCTGTTTGACTTTATTACCTTGAAATAGATTCAGATAAATGATAGAGGTAAAATCACGTGAAAATGGCAATTTGTAAATAATTCGATCGATATTCACCAAAGCCGTTAAACCTAGCAAGTTGTAACTTTTAACACCTAACCAACTAGGAAACTTTGTCTAGTATTCATAAAAGATTGCGCTCTAATTGGGCTGTTTAATTAGTGACCTTTAGAAAAACGCGCCTCTTGATCGTTCCACTCGTACCTATAGTTACAAATGGCTGCGAAGAGCGCGCCCCTTGTCCCACTGCAAATCGGTATTCCGCGCGGGAACCCTGGCGAGTAAGCGCGCACACCCTATAACTTTCAGCGCGAAACAAGTGAAACTGAAGGAAAAACGACTCCTTTTTGCAGGAGAATCCCAGAAACAGGTGCAGTTGTGACGTGCAATGATCTTACCTTTCATCTCTTGCCATCTAAAACATCCCTCATTATTAGGATGCCTCAAGATTAGCACGGGTAAGAAAGTAATGATTTGTTTCCTAAACAGAGGGGGCTTTCTACTGAACATGTTTCTTATACGGCAGCCATAAAAAGAAGGAAGCTGCAGATCGAAGTGTCATGAGGTAAGTATCATTCATTCAAAGACTAGGAGATTCAAAAACGCTTCGATTTGAAAAGCACTTTTGAAATATGTCATCTTTGATGATAGATCACACGGATAAAACCAATTCGAGCATGTTTACAACTTGTATATACAAGCGTTTTCGAGTTTTCTATTCCCAAAATGGGTAGTAGCTTGCGGATGAGCATTTCAAGTTCAGATGGACTTCGAATAGCTTGACTGTCTGTGTAACTGTGTACGTTTTCGGCGGCTTAGGTAGGCTTCTTTGCCTCTCACTCCTCCTCTGACTCAGGTAGGGCGCTATCACGCTTCCCATTTGACTACTTGTCACTCGATTTTCGCTACTTAGTCTTCGTTCATGTCTCACAATGGATAAGTGTACAAAAGCATAAGTACGGCTACGGCCTGTGAGAAATACTCCTCATCTGAGTGCATTCCTTAGGTAGCTATCGCGACGCACTGAGGATAAAACAGCTTTCCATAATGTCATAACCAAAAATATTATGCATGCAGTATAATGAACTGAAGGGAATTTCGTCACAAGTTTTAATGCTTTAAACCAGGCCGCTTTGACTTTCATTTTTGTGATAGATGAAAAGAAAGCCAGAGTTGCTGAGCAGAGAGTCCACCTTTCACGACTGTTAAGATTATTTTATAGCATGCAGATACTTTCCACTTAGTACAGAAAACGAGATGTGGATTCTGAATTTGCTCATCGAGTACGCAAAAAAGGGAAACCAGATTTGTCTTCAAAACACAAGCCAAAGCAAAAACTACGGGTTCGTACAATTCCTTAACTCTTAGCATCAAGAAACGGAGTCATGCTGCACAAAAACTTACTATCAGAAAAAGGTCGCACAATAACATCCATGCAAGAAGTCCACAAACAAGACTAATCATACAATCTCTAGCCTTTCGTGTATTGCCGCTTGCTCAACGACATCCTCACCAACTCGTTCCGTGACATCGATAAGATGTCATCGATCAGAATCTTCACTGGTTAGCTTATATAGCTCAAATAGTAGACATCTGCGCCTGAATTGCATGCTCCGACACCACACTCTCTGCGCGCCGGTCAAATTTGCATTGGGTCATGGGGCGCGCTCTTCGCAGCCATTTGTAACTATAGGTACGAGTGATCGTTCCCGTATTTGGAACACATACATCTGTTCTAAGTTAGTTGAGGCGCATCTGAGACGGTTAACACGTTGGCAATCGCGTGCATACGCTCGTATGCACGTTTTGACCTCCATTTGTGCATACGTACGTATGCACGCCAATTTTTAAATGCGAACAGAAAGTTCTGAGGTAACTTCTCATCTTCAGGAATTTGAACCGAAAATTCATTCCATTTTCAATGTGGTAAATATATGATGGTATGTTTTCATAGAGGGCAAAAACTCTACAAAGCTGTTCTAACAATAAAAGCAATCTCCACACACATAGCCATTGCATGTTCTTTTGGAGAGGAAACCGATGAAAAATTCTTGTATATGTAATCTCTGGCAAGAGCGCATGCATGCGTTAAGCACGAGAGCGATAGTGAGTGAGTTTACCAAAATGTTTCGATCGTCAACTTGTTAATTTTGTTTCGTTTGTGATGGATTGAAGAAGTAAGCAGCCGTAGTTGAGATTCGGAAGGCGGTGACTACAAAATCCTCGATTGGCTATTACCTACGTAGGCTTTCCCGACTCATGCACTTCGAAAAGCGTGAAAGTGACTGAAATGGGCTCTCATAAGAGCTTTGACGTATGTGGACGTGAAACACAGGAGCCGCTAATAACACTAGCCATTCACGACTGATGCTCCTTCCTACATGATACATACTGTGTAAGGACAAAATACGCGGAGGTATTTATCGCTACAGATGATGATTCACATGTGAGAAAATCATCCGCTAGAGCTTAGCAGCCCCCAGCCTCACAAAATGGTAGCAAAATTCTTGTGAAAAGTCCACATGAGTTAGGAAAATGTGCAAATGACTTCTTTTTACTATGATTATTTCGAGATGAAAAATCAATTTAGCTCTTAAGAATTCGTCCACAGCCTCATACAAACAAAATGGTGTGGCCGAAACCATCAATCCAGAACCGACGCGACAGCCAAAACATGCATCCCAGAAAACCCGACCACCCCGCTTGCCTCCTCCGCTGTAAGGTACAATCGAGTAGATTTCCCTCTTAATATAGTGTGCTTGCACAGAAGGTGAAATGCGGTAAAATTTGCGCATAAACAAATAGTTTTGACTGTGACGCCGGCCAATTGCAGGCGCAGAATGCCGCCAGTATGGCGTGGCTACTTCTTTGGCACCCGCCATACTTGATCCGCTTAATCAACCTGACCCGCTTGATCCGCTTCATCATTGGTCACTTCAGTGAACTGACCAATAGTGAAGTGGATGAAGTGGATCAAGCGGATCAAGCGGATAACCGCTTCGCTATTGCTCAATTCACTGAATCGACCAATGACGAAGCGGATCAAGCGGATTAAGCGGATCAAGTATGGCGGCTGCCTTTACCGCATTTCACCTTCTGTGCAAGCACACTATATTAAGCGGAAAATCTACTCGACTGTAAGGTTTGTTCCATAAGCGTAAAGGCCAAAGAGACAGAAGGCGCGGAAGAAAGTACGTGTGAACATAACAGCCTGTCCCTGAAATTTCTTGGAAAAACTCGCATATTTCAAAATTTCAGTACCGAAGATTCGATGAACACGTTAAAAGCCACGCCTCAAAAAATTTTCTTACAAAGCTGACTCAGTTTTAACTCAATCGAGTAGTTTTCATATCATTTGCAACGAGTCAACTTTGCATAACTTACTTCCTTAGGTCACTCTACGCATCTCTTCCAGTAGACTCCCCCCCCCCTTCTCTCGCTACTCGCTTTCCTCAATCTGCGTATGCCACACCAAGAGCTGGGGTACATGATCCGGTTTCGTGGCTAAATTTCTAAATTTTTAGATTTCATAATTTGCACTGACTATCGGCAAGATTGTGTAAACTGCGAGCCATTGATGCTGAGAAACGTTCTGACTCATCATCAATCAGATCGAGCAAGCATTTCTAACTCCTCAGTGTTTGCATCACCCTTGTCAGTTCTGCCTAATTTTTGCCTTCATGGTTATTGTTACTGATGATTTTCTAACTTCTAAGCATGACATGTGAACGAAACTGCTTTCCACTAGAAATGCATTTTCATAAGTATTAATGTCCATAAAATCCAGCACTATAACGTAGCCAAAGATTAGCTAAAAATTGCTTCTAGCGTATCAACTGCAAAAATATTTCTTAGGGCCGCGCTGAGTTGGCATGCAGCAAGATGTTCTTCGAACTTTCCTTTCGGTACATGAATTAACATCCCCGCTGGGGAGGGGATAGCAGCATAAAAGAAAGCTTCATATTCTGAAGCTCCAAATATCTATGTAGATTTTACGCTGTCTACCTATCCGTAAGTACTCCTACTATCTATCAGTATAAACATACTGAACAGCGAGAAGCTGCACAAACCGCGTTTTCCAGCTTTAGTGATCACTGATGATCCCCGGCGCTTCTCTTCAAAGTCATTTTTCTTTCTTTGAATTTAACGAAAACCTTTCAAAGTTGTACTAATTATCAAGACCTTATAATAACGGGCTAAGGGTTGTTTACGTGTTTTTGTGTGTGTATATGTCCGCCTGTTACGAAATTCGTAGAGCATGTCCCAGCCAACGTCCTGCTCCCAAATTTCGCACAGCGCATGCTACCCACGTGAAAGTCCAGTATGCGGAAGCACAAGCGGATACGCTAGTGGATCCCTCGAAAAGTACGCGTCAACCGGACTTGGCTTCTGGCCAGCAAAATTGGGACTGTACCACCACTTTTTGCGAAGTCATGCACATGTTTGGCAAGCTATTGCGGAAGCCACAGACTTCAGCCCATAACACTGGATTAAAGTTGATTACTTTTCGAAAATGGCGCCAAAAAGGATCAGTTGCGTAAATGTTCAATTTGCCAACATTTCACCTGATCATTTGAGAAGATTTTGCTTGGAGATGTAGCCCACGGTGACTATTGTCCTTATGGCCACTACCAAGCCATGAGAGGTCCAAAAACTGATTCAAATTTGCATATATTCTTCTGGGAACAGTTTCATTCACGCGAAAATACCGACCTCACAAAGGATCTAGGAATGAGTAGTTGTTTGCAAATCATTCGTGATAGCCTGCATAGCGCGGTGAGCTTTAATGTCATTATTATGCCGGAATGAGTAAGGCATACAGAAAGTAGGCCAGTGCGAGAACAAATGAGTTTTTGAAAAATTAAATTTTTCGGTAACCCCAACTTTCGCCTTGTGGTTCATCGCAAATTTCATGACTTCGATACATCACTCGTTCTTACAGCAACATGCTAAGCACTGTTGTTTTAGATAATCTGCACAACTTTGGAAGTTTTTCGTTAACTTCAGAGAAAGAAAAATGACGTTGAAGAAAAGAGCCGGGGATCATCAAGGATTATACAAAAGCTGAAGAATGCGGTTTGTACAGCTTCTTGCTCCTGTTCAGTATGTTCATAGTGAAGGATAGTGGGAATTATGGATAGGTACACAACGTGAAATCCAGATATCTGGAGTTTCATATGAAGCTTTCTTTATAGCTGCGATCCCCTCCCCGCGCGGATGTTAATGCATGCGGCCCTTAGTATCACCAGGTCACATTCTTGCACCTTGCGCCTGAAACTCGCGTACAGCACAAACATTCTAAATAGCAGCTGAGTTAAAAAGCTCTTTCCAATTTCCTCTTTGTCAGCTCAAAGGTAGGTTGACTATCGTTGATCAACCGCCGTCATTTTTAAACCCTAAGGCATCGCTCAAATTTCGCGCTTTTTAAGCTGCTGCGCAATCTGGCGTTGCTTCGATGTTTCGTACTAGTATGGGTGGTTCACCGCACACAAAGACATGGAGTCACTATAGACGCTCTTAGCGTCTGTCGCGGATTCGCGACTTCCTTCAAAGGAGGCCGCCGCCGCGCTGCGAAGGGGTCCCGAAACGCTGTCCTCGCGCTGCTCCCGCCTTCCCATCGCTACCGCCGCAGCTTTCAAATCAGTCGTCTATTTCGTTACCTGGTGAGCGGTTGGCTCCCGATTTCGTCATCCCACGTGTCGATCGGTGCAGCGCCGTCCCCAATTCACGCGTCTCTACATCCAACACGCCGAGGAGGACAGGCAACCCCGCAGACGAGGTAACCCCGTGCGCGCTCGCGCCTGACATACGCCAGCGACACCGCCAAGGGGGTTTCCGATATTGTCGGCCCCTAGGATAAGATCGGGCTGGTTGTGCTTACCCACTTGTGTTTGAGTTTAGGAAATTGTTGTGGATAAATGGTGGGCATTTTACACGTGTGATTTGTTTGATGCGGTGAGCCACAGCTCGGCTGTGGCTCCGGGGATATTGTGTCATCGTATTTGTGTGTATTTTATAATCGTGCCTAGTGTGAAAGATCCGTGAGAAGGCCGGCACGACCCCGGGGAGTGCCGTGGTTATAAATACATGCCCCAACTGTCGGTAGTTGGGAGATGAGTTGGATCGCAGGTGTCAAGTAACTGCTAAGCAGGCTGGTGGCAAGGGCCTCTATGTGTGCATGGAGTGTCCCTGTGGCAGGCGCACATAGCATTTCTCACAGGTAGCCACCACATGATACGTTTCACTCCATCACGGAGCGGACCCCTGGCTCCCCTCGCCGATGCAGGAGAGCCATTGTACCACCGACGTTGGGAGCTGGGGGCCCAATCCGCGACAGCTGATCTCGCTGATGCACTCTTTCACTTCTCTTGCCGTCTGCTGTTTCTCTCATGCACAAACTTTCTTGATTCGATGCAACAGCGCCCAGTCTGTGCGTACATTGAATGGCTTATACCTCGTAACAACTGGTGTAAGCAAAACTTTGTAATAACATCTCTTTCGGAAGTTATGCGCCTAAATAGTTGTGCGATGGATATAGGCATTTAGTGACTTGCCAAGTCATTTTTTATGGGCGGCCAACACATCATATGGCCTAGATATTACATTATAGTGGGCAAACTGATCTTTAGTAAAACCTTTTAATGTTTCATTTGATGAAAAGGTGTGAAAGAAGAAAAACGGGAAAATTTTCTTCGACGATACAGCTAACGGCAATGGTAGAGCTTTACAATCTGGCAAAGCTCTCACGACTACAGGAAAATAACTGCACATGAAAGAAAAAGAAGTGTTTAGATACCTCAGGTCACTTCTTGGGATTGCAGCAAAATCAGAAATAATTTGCGAGCTAGTCAGGACGTTAATCCGGACACTCTATCTAGAGGAATTCTACATACAGTCAATTCATTTCATATGATCATGTGTGCACCCACACACATCGTTCATCTTTGGCGTCCTCATCCTGGAATTCCAATGGCAAAACGCAAGAGACTGAGCGACTGCTGCTTACATCAGTTTGGGGTGCTGCTTAAAAAGGGAAGAAAACTTTGAAAATACATCACAAACACTTACCTGAAAGGCTCTCACCAAGAATCCAGGATGGGGACGTTGTAGGTGGACGATGTGTGCAGTGGCACACATGATCAAGGTGATTCGACTGTAGTTTTAACTTGCTCACCTATCTATCCACATTAGGTATTTGAATGTACAGTTACTGTTCCTTGTGGCGAGAAATCAAAAAACAAAACAAAACAAAGATGGACATACTACTGCTGAGTATACTTGGGACCGAATCGAATGATTATTCGATTATTCGAATAAATCATTCGAATGCGAATCACTCGAAAAGTCGAATATTCGAAAATCTGAGATTTCGAATAAAATTCGAAAGTCGAATATTCGAAATTTTCAGTTTTCGAATATATTCGATATTCGAATAATCGAAAATTTCAACCTTCGAATATTATTCGAAAGTCGAATATTCGAAAATTTCAATTTTCGAATATTATTCGAAAGTCGAATATTTGATGGTCATCAATTCGATCATTCGATGGTCATCGAATATTCGAATCATTCGATGAACATCGAATATTCGAATATTCGATAATTTGAATGATGATACCAGAGCCCGGCGCAGACTGTATGGAAGCAAGCTGGATTTGGTTTTTGGGGCGGAAAAGCAAAAGGATATCAAGTTTGTGGCCAAAAATTGCGACGTTTTTCAGTCGGCGTTTCGTCTTTTGAGAGTTTTTTACGTTTACGGCTGACAGTCTGTGACTTCGTTTTTAAGAAGCCTAGAAACGATTTCATGCTGGGCCCTGGATGGTAAGCCTAGCACTCACTGTAGGACTTTTTATCAAGCTGCAACTCTCAATGGGGAGTGTATAGGCGCCGTAAAACCTAACTGCCCGCGTCGTGCCTTGAACACCAGCGTAAGCGAGCGGTCGTCACGGACGAATGTCGGAGTTCACTTTATTCCAAGAAATCTTTCTTTAACTTTCATGTTGTTCTCGTCAATGCAGGGTATATTGACGAAAGCTCTTTTCAAAAGTTTAAAAAAATATGTGCGGAAAGGGTGCGCGCTCACTGTTGCTTGCGAAAGGCCTGTAGCGCTTCGGGACCAAACGTTCTCAGCCGCGTCGCACGTTGGTGTTCAAAGCGACGCGTGGGCGATTGGATTTTACGGGGCCTGTATATTCTTTGTGGTCCTGGCGCAGTAGTCTGTACAGTAATCGTGATGCGCCATTTCTGTTGCAGATGTAGCTGCTATCGATTTTTCGCTATCCAGTGACGCCAGATTTTGATGTTCTACACAGCGTCTATCAGTTCTTCATGAGCGTCATTGAGTAAACTCTGAAATTTAAACTTAGAGTTTAAACGTTTAGATCCACCGTAACACGGCTTTATGACAGCAACAGGGAAAAGTGAAAAATGAGTAAAGGGTATTCGAAAAATCGTGACGATGGCGCGACCGCGCGCGACACGCACGCACCTACCTACACAACCCGCATTTTCTAGGTTTTCTTCTCTCCTTGAATGGTTTTTCTGCTTACGTATGACAGTATTTAGACAGTGGAAGAGACTGAGCTGAGAGTTGAGGTGATGCCGTTTCGTATGAGTGTTTTCTGCACCTGTGGGCTCAAAGACCAGTCAAATCCGTCATTACGATTTTACAAACGGCCTATACCATATTTTTGATCTGCGCACCGACCAACCTCCTAGAACAAGGTTTAACAACGTTTCAAAATTTTGTAGATACCGGGCATTACGATACCCCCCCCCACAAGCCTGCTGAAAGTATGAGCAAAATATACTCCGGAGGACTTTTTTAGCAGCATCTCTTCTTTTGTACTTTATTTCTCTTTCTCTGACCAAACTCAGATTTATCTCTGAGTTCAACGATAACTGTAACGCCCACCGAACTCAGAGTTATCGCAAAGCACAGCTGCGCGTTTGGTGGCACTATTTCTTGTGCAGAACGATTTCGACAATGTTTTCCTACTAGGGATGAATTACCGGTTACGGAGTCTGCCATATATCGCTTTCTAGATTTGGACCAATCAATTGTTGAAGGGGTAAGAAAGGTGCGAGTCAGCTCAGATATAACTCAGAGTCAAGTCAGAGTAACTTTGAATTCCGACCAGATTACTACCGACCCTGACGTCTAGTGCCTTTTCTTCATTCGCATTCGGAAAAGGTGATAGATGTGAACGTAAACGTGAAGATGTTACTGATATCGTCGCACTTACTTCCACTTTACTTCCACTCGACATCGTAAATTGAGGGCGTATTTAAGATAATGCATTAGTGACCGGAAGGATAGTGTTGTGTCAAGAAGTTTGTCGTTTGTTGTAGTGCGAGAAAGGGATATGGTAGAACCAGTCATTGTATAGTAATTATTTCCAGCAACGGTCTAGCTTATCGCATTGCCAACGAGAGGAAGGTTGCTTATTGCCACGAGTGTCGAGTTGAAAGTTGTTGGTAAAGCACTTACACAGTTCAACTAATGTGTATACTATATGTGTATCGTGGAGTTGTCGATGGCAGGGCTAGATGTAGAGAATCCGCGCGACGCGCTGAGATATATGTCATGTACTGCAGAATAGTAGTCGCATAAAAGGGCACTACAAAGACCTACAGTACTTGTAAACTATGCGCTTGGTCATGTTATCATATCACATAGACATTAATTTTTCGAATGAATTTCGAAAATCGAATGATATTCGAAGGTCGAATGATATTCGATATTCGAATATTCGAAATTTCCGATTTTCGAATATCATTCGATAGTCGAATATTCGAAATTTTCCATTTTCGAATATTATTCGATAGTCGAATATTCGAAATTTTTGATTTTCGAATATCCAAAAATCTTACCTGAATTCAAGAAAATTTTTATCCTAACTCTTGGAAGAGAGCTAATAGCTGTTATCATTTTCGATTACATGGGATTTATTCGGGGAGAAAATCGCGGCTTGGTGTGATCACGTTTACCATGTAAGGCCTAAGGCATACTTCACGCGATTGCAGTCGCTGCGCGATCCGTCACTGCCGCGACTCTTCGCAACTGGTCTTTAGCGCGCTTTGCATGGGCCAGACTTAAAGATTTTGCTATAACTTGCTGTGCACTGTGCGCCTATGCACTTATCACCCGCACACGATTGATCTGTAAATATCTGGCAAACTGCCAAGTCGCGTGGATGTAGCGATTTGACGAAATCGCGCGAGGTATGCCTTAGGCCTAAGAGTACCGAAAACTCTAAAAAGCTGATTCTTCAAAGCAGATTAAACTCTCTTATGTTGCAAAAATAATGCTTAACAATGATCAAATTTCAATTCGCAGAAACTTTGAAAGCTTTCATGTTTTTGCTGCGGTTGCGAGTTTCATGACTTTGCCAAAAATCGAGACCATCGAATAAAATTTTTTCATAGCTAAATACAGCAGGTCGGCAGAATCTAAAGATGTTACCGTATAGCCCAAGGTTTTCTCTATTTGCATCATACTTAACCCTTTCGGAAACTTGAAATAAGATTCAAAAATTAGCCAGACATTGAGCAGATAGTATTGACGGGTGAAGAATTTTGGCAGTTCTCAAAAAAGCGTACAGGATTGTGTGTTCGAAAATGTATCCATTAGGAAGACAAGAAAAAGCTGCATTGATTGGATGATGAAATTTATTTAAGTCTTTATCGTGCGTGGTTTTACTGTCGTTTGAAAGACCGACAAAATTTGCTGGACAACCTGGTATTTACGAATATCATGTTATCGCTATTATACTCGATCACGACCCCATTTCTTTTTTGACTTCTCAATACGACCGCCAAGCAGGGTCAAGCGTGCTGATGCGATCCGGGACCCTCATTTACGACCCCCTCCCCCTAAAGGTACCCATCCGTACGCCACCCCCCCCCCCCCCCACCTACCCCTCTCCCCCTCCACTTCCTTTTGCGGTAACCTGCATAAACGAATGTCAATCTCAAGAGATGCCTGCCAATGGACCTCAATCAAAATTATAGGTCAGAGAAAGATAACTACTTAAACTGGGAGATAATGCAAGTAATACTTCACCACTCAAAATACAAATAATTCTACGTAGAGATTGTGTAAGTAAAAGTAGTAAAATAGTAAAAGTAGTAGTAAAATTTTACAAGTTGTCCATGCTTGTTGTATTTGGGAAAATATGAATGGAAAGGACATCATTTGACAAAGAATATCGAATATGATTTGAATGGTATTTAAGCTGCACTTCTTATATATAAAGCTGAATGTCTGTTTGTCTGTATGTATGTATGTATGTTTGTGTGTACGTATGTTCCGAATAGAAAATTCCATTTTTGAACCGACCCGGACCAAACTTGGCACACATACGCTACGGGCCCCGGCGGGTGTCATAGGCTACTTTTCGTCATCGATCGATATCGATTTTATCGATTTTTATCGATTTTTTTGCTGACTTCACCTACGGGGCTGGGAGTTGGCACAGGGGGGTAATCGAGCATGGGGATTCCGAAACAATATTGGTTTTCACGATTATCGATTACTTTTATCGATTTTATCGATTTTTTTGCAAAGTTTGAGCTAGGGGGCTGGGAGTTGGCACAGGGGGGTAATCGAGCATGCTGATATCGATAAAATCGATAAAAGTAATGGACGACCTTGAAAACTATTATTGTATTCGTAATCTGCATGCTCGATTACCCCCCCCCCCCCCTGTGCAAACTCCCAGCCCCGCAGGTCAAACTTTACAAAAAAAATCGATAAAATCGATAAAAGTAATGGACGATCCTGAAAACTAATATTGTGTTCGTAATCAGCATGCTCGATTATCCCCCTGTGCAAAATCCCAGCCTCGCATGTCAAAATTTACAAAAAATCGATAAAATCAATAAAAGTAATCGATAATTCTGAAAACTAATATTGTATTCGGAATCCCCATGCTCACTTCCCCCCCCCCCCTGTGCCAACTCCTAGCCCTGTAGGTGAACTCTGCAAAAAAATCGATAAAAATCGGTAAAATCGACATCGATCGATAACGAAAAGTGGACTGTGACACCCGCCGGGGCCCGAAGTGTATATGCCAAGTTTGGTCCGGATACGGCGGAGCCGGGTAAGCCAGCTAGTTACCTATCTTATATATAAAGCTGAATGTCTGTTTGTATGTCTGTCTGTCTGTATGTCTGTCTGTCTGTACGTATGTTCCGTATAGAAAATTCCATTTCTGAACCGATCCGGACCAAACTTGGCACACATACACTACGGGCCCCGGCGGGTGTCATAGGCTACTTTTCGTCATCGATCGATATCGATTTTATCGATTTTTATCGATTTTTTTGCTGAGTTCACCTACGGGGTTGGGAGTTGGCACAGGGGGGTAATCGAGCATGGGGATTCCGAATACAATATTGGTTTTCGGGATTATCGATTACTTTTATCGATTTTATCGATTTTTTGCAAAGTTTGAGCTAGGGGGCTGGGAGTTGGCACAGGGGGGTAATCGAGCATGCTGATCATCCCCAAGGGGGGTGATCAGCATGCTCGATTACACCCCTGTGCCAAATTCCAGCCCCCTAGCTCAAATTTTCAAAAAATCGATAAAATCGATAAAAGTAATGGACGATCTCGAAAACTAATATTGTGTTCGTAATCAGCATGCTCGATTACCCCCCTGTGCAAACTCCCAGCCCCGCAGGTCAAACTTTACAAAAACGATAAAATCGATAAAAGTAATGGACGATCTCGAAAACTAATATTGTGTTCGTAATCAGCATGCTCGATTACCCCCCTGTGCAAAATCCCAGCCTCGCATGTCAAAATTTACAAAAATCGATAAAATCAATAAAAGTAATCGATAATTCTGAAAACTAATATTGTATTCGGAATCCCCATGCTCACTTCCCCCCCCCCCTGTGCCAACTCCTAGCCCTGTAGGTGAACTCTGCAAAAAAATCGATAAAAATCGGTAAAATCGACATCGATCGATAACGAAAAGTGGACTATGACACCCGCCGGGGCCCGAAGTGTATGTGTGCCAAGTTTGGTCCGGATACGGCGGAGCCGGGTAAGCCAGCTAGTAAAGAATAAATAACAACCAAGAAAAATTCGGCATTACAGAACGGTTCAATTTAGTCATTATAATTGACTATTTTATAACTCCTTTTCTAGTGAAGATTAATAAACTTTCCTGCTGTTTATGAATGTTCGGCATAATCCTTTCATGGTCCAGTGGTACCGAAAGATATAGACTATGTTTCTGAGAATTAGAAGTTTTAGACTTTAAGACACTCCCGTGTTCTATCCCCGTACGCGACAATATTTTTTTGCAGAGATAAAAAACGATATTCAAAGCGTAAAAATTGTTTTCGACTAAAAAACGTAGTTTCTATCTATTGCACAGATTTTCCTGCGAAAAAAACCTTTTAGCGTCTTCCAGAACGATGTCGAAAACGTGAATAAGCACGGTACCTTGAAAATTCGTAACTAAGGTCAGGGAAAGAACGAGAGGCTGTAATGAATAGGCGGTGTAATGTTGTGCCCAGACTATCCATGAAAAAAGCAGCCATTGAGGAGCAATGATCTCAAAAAAATCTAGATGCGACTCTTGCAAATTTGCGATCTTAAAAAGCAAGAGATTTTTAGGCTTGAAATTTTGTAAATCAACGGAGAAGTATCGAAACAGCCTAAAATTTTTATGTTAGAAAGTAGGAGGATGGCCTCGTATTCAGCAAAACTGCAGCGAGCAGGCCTCCGTAGCGGCGAAAAATTAGATGCGACCCAGATACGACCCTCCTTTTTTCATTTTTTGTCACCATTTATAAAATTTTAGAAAAATCCACAGGCTATGAAATATAACCAGATTTTGCACAACTGTAGCAAAGCATTTTCAAAGTACAGGTAAATTGTATGGGCTCTTAAAGAATTAACAAAAAACTTTTAGCAATTATCGATGGTCATCGCTGGTAGAGATGAGCGCTTTGGTCGAGAGAGTGGGACTTCAGTGATGCTTCGGAACCAGAATTTCTAGGCCAATTGGTACATTTAACATTCTTGTCACACATACATGCCTAGTGTTTGAGCTTGTGAAAGTGTTTTTGGAATCTTCGGTCATACTTGTGGCCAACAAGTTCGATCCCTGTCTGCGACACCTTTTTTGCAGGGCAAAAAATACTGTTTTTGAAAAGTAGAGTATGTTTGCGACACTTTTTTAAATTCGGACCACTCTCTCTCTTACGACCCCCCCCCCCCTGCCGGTGCCCCTTTTACGACCCCACGTTGCGACAGTCGCATCACACGCTTGACCCTGCCGCCAAGGCGTGACGCGCCACACCCCACGCTTGACCCTGACTACCATCCTCTTAAACGACTTTTGAATAAAAATGCTTATGTCAAAAATGTTACAAATATTCTTCAGATTACTGAGGAATATTGAATGTGCATTTTATAGTTTATCCTGATTGCTTTTATTACCGAAATTCTGCATGGTGACTGTGGAAGGTACAATACTTTGAATGAATTTAATGGCTACCTTATCGGTATTTCCGGTCATCCAGTGCAAATTTCTAGCAGAAGATAACTTGAATTTTTGACCATGCAGACCTCTGAAAGGCAGTCTCTCACCAAAACTGAGGTTGCGATTTCCACATATTCTACTACACAGGGCCTATTAGTTAGGCCACTGCAACAAATCCTATTCCATTTGACCCCTCTACGCAGAGGAAAATGTTTTCAGAGTGATCCGCACCGAGCGACTTGGTCCGCACTGCAGACTTCTCCGGTTTTCCTACGCAATCCAACGGCTCCTTCCACCTGACCGTCCAAGCGTTGTTTTCTCGAAGAAGAAAAACGAAGTTCTTCAACATTTTATGCGATTTTAAACCTGCATGGAGTTAGGCAGGATCGCTTTGGCTTATGATATGAGACTCGACAACCAAATTTTGGTGAGAAACTGCTTTGACGCGGTATCGTAGTTGCCGTTGTGCACAAGTGGCCGGGGCCAGCGCGGGAGTGCCTCAGTCAAATCAAAACGTACATCGTACGTAACACATCCAGACTGGATAGCTAAATTCGGATTTGACCGAGGCAGTCCCGCGCTGGTCGCGGCCGCTTTTGCACAACGCACGACCACTTCCCAATCAAAAAAAACGTCAGATCCCTATCAACCACACACAAATCACGGCAGCTATGACACTAAAGAGATTAGAAAAAATGGCGGATGCCGTCGTGGTTACACTGATCTGAATCTGATACAGTTAGGTGCTTAGGCCCCGGTCAGACTTCACGCGACTCAATCGTCGCGACTCAATCGCCGACATTTCCATTCATTTTCATTTCACATTCAAGAATTTCGGGCTGAAAAAGTATCACAACCGAAATGAAAGTTGATCAGCATGGAATGATGTTGTAACAGTTGTCTCCTCGCGATTCAGTCGCGACGATTAAATCGCGTGAAGTCTGCCCGGGGCCTTATTATAGAGTGCAAATGCACGCTGCGCCCAAAAGCCACTTCAAAACTTGGCCGAAACCGCCTCCGGGGGTCACCCGTCGCAAGCTCTGATCGGATGATTCAGACCGAGATTTATGAGGATAGGGGCGGTTTGACGAGTCGTATAACTAGTATGTATGTATGAGTCAAGCGAAGGATAGCGAAACTCTGGACGAAAATGCCATACTAATACAACTTTATAGAGACAATAGCATCTGGAAGGGCATCTTGCGACTGGGACTGGCTACGCTTTTGTATTTCTCTTTGGAAGCGTGAGTTTTCATCGTGTTTCATTTGAGTGATCTAACATTTGCCCAAATCGCTACATCTTCTTGTTGAACGCTAGCTCACACTTTTGCTCAAGTCATGATGACCACAGTGCCCGTTTAAACGAGCCCACTGGGTAGGGTCGATATGCGCAAGTGCTGCTCTGGTTTGGCTAACCCACTAATTCTATGCATAACGATCTCGTGATTTAAGCCTAACTAATGTGTTAAGAAACTCATTGGGTTCGTTGATGATTACGGATGAAAACTATTTCAGTCTCAGTCACCTATCAAAGTGGACAGCAAGATGTGATTTGAATATAGAGTATTCGCGTATGCAATGCGAAGAGAAGAGGGGGCGTTGGTCCGGTCTTGACATCTTCGGTCATCCTTTCGCATTGATTTACAGTATACTTCTTATAGCAAAAGAGGTGCGAATTTGAAGCCATGTTTTGGAGCAGTTTAGAATCTTTGCAAATTCGTCATATCTTTCCCCAAGCTAAGCACAAACCTGTCAGGTAGTGCAATTCGAAGATGACAACAGGATACGGAGAAGGCAGGAACAACAGAGGGGTGCTCAATATCCTGCAGGTTGGATACCTGCACTATTCCTAATCAACATTTGGTGGGTGAGTTACTTAGCTTTTTTCGAAGTTGAATTGATGCTTTCTCTTTTTTTTCATTTGAAAGGGTGCTTTAGTTTACGGCAATTATTTGCCGAAGAAGCGTATACCAAAATTTATCTTATTTTCTCGATTTCACCTCTACGATTGCAGTATTTCAGGGTTATCAACTATTCAACTCCTTTTGCTGTCACAGTTTGCCTGATAAGGTAAGAGCAATCTTGTTTTCTTTTTGCGTACAATTTGCATTACAGTACGACTTTTCTCAGAATTCCAACTTCTGAGGGTCAATTTCAGGTTGCCGGTGCTTCGGCTGCTGTCTTGTGCGGGAAGCTCTTGCCTTACCTTTACACATTCGCTCAAAATGTCTTTTTGTGGTTTTTCGGCTGATTGGTCAATCGAAAAATGATGAACACATGCATCCTTTCGTAGGCGATAACTTTTTGACTTTCTATGCATCATGGAGTGCCTTGATTCTACTATTTACCTTCTTGGTTTCTGTTTCGAGTATATTAGCGTTGATTGTGTAATTTGCTCAAAAACTATTTTTGTAGATTTTCAAATTTTCCGGATTTACAGAGTTCATGGACTAATAGATCAAGCATATGGCCACAGTTCAGAAGTTCCTCTGCTAACAACGATTTCGTTCAGTTCCTTCGCTTTGAATTATCTATTCTCGCTTTTTAAGCACTTTGTTATTGAAATAAAGAAGTGGGCTAATTCCTTGCTTGTTGCTAAGCTTAGTCGACAAGAAAGTTGGATTTTGAAGTAGAGGGTTACTTATACTGTTTTATAATTCATGGGTTAATTTTGAAAATTTCGCGAATTATGCCTGAGGAAAGAGGTTTGTAAACTAGTCCGCTACTGCTACATATCATAGAGCACCCATATTTCCTGCTCCTTCCGGCTGTTCTCTCAGACAGCGGATCGGACCCCTCCGCCGGAGAAGTGGCAGGGTCGCGGCGTATCCCCAGCGGTGGGTCTCCCATTTGTCCGGCGGAGCCCTCCCATCTTCTGCTCCGGATACCCCCTATTTTCTGCTCCGGATACCCCCCATTTTCTGCTCCGGATACCCCCCATTTTCTGCTCCGGATACCTCCCATTTCTGCTCCGGACCCCTCCGATTTTCTCCGGCGCGTGTCTTCCAAATTTGGCGGACACGCGCCGCGCAGACCTCTGCGGCGCGGAGTCCGTCAAATCTGGCAGAGTCGCGCCGGAGAAATGGCGGACCTTTGCAGCAGGGCCGGACAAGCCTCCCATTTGCCTGCCAGTGATGCCACCGCGATGGACCGCCCATTTGCCCTTCTCTCATTGGTCAACTGGGTCCGGCGCGACCCTGGCAGTTTCCGAGGGTCCGGCGGAGGGGTCCGATCGATTGTCTGAGCTGTTAAAAATCAGCTCGATAATACACACAGGAAGAGATAGCGCATTGTGCAGAATGGAGGTGCTGAAACGCAGGTCGTAATCACATTACTTAACCAACGTGCCACATTCCAACGCGCACAACTCTACTGGGTCATGCAAGAAAAGAAGCTATAGGATAAGTATAGACTTTAAAGACATCACAGCGCAATTTCGGAGTCAGTTCATATAAGAACTGCAAGAGAGATAGAGGTACATTTCTTGTATTTGATGAGCCATAGACCCCACTTTTCATCAACTTAGCTTCCCGAAATGTGATTTTTATGCTGTTTTCAAACCACCTTGTTGAGTTGATTTGATGACGTTTAAGAAAACTTTTTTGACATGGTCGACTTTACAGATTTGAGTAGATGATGAGCTTATGTCCGCTATCCTCCCTTTGCGAAAATTCAGGGTTATAAGTGTGCAAAAGAAGACATCTTTCCCTCAAAGGGTGGAGTCGCCAAATTCCTTCAAATAGGAGAATTGTCACACAACTCTCAGATATTCTTGGACCGCCGCTGCACACAGTATCCTAACTTCAGATCCTTTCATTCTTGAAAGTGGGGGAGGTTGGCGTAAATATGTGGCTAATCGCTGAACGTTCCTGATACCTAAACTCCACCTTGATTTTGCTCCTTTACAAGACATTCGCCACGCGTCCCCCCCCCCCCTCTAAAACTGATTTCTATTTACCAGTAGTTCAGAAACGCAGATAATTACATTAACAGCAGACAGAGAATGTGATGACGCACAGTATCACCACATTTTCAATTTATTTACTTGATTTGTCGATTTGCAAAAAATAAAGAAGAAAAGGAATTCCTGGAATTGTTTTGAAATTTCATATACACTCAACATATTCAACTGCATACAATCAATAAAGTTGATTTATGATGAGTGAGAAGCCCTTAACCTCTGCTAGAAGTAATACGCAATTTCAGAACCATAGATCTCCGTTGAAAAATAAGCCGACGTCAGAAGAGATTGATCTGGAGTCCAAAATCCAGAGAAAACCCCTTTACTGTTCGTCACCTCTATCCCACTTCATTAATGACCAGTTAACGGCCAACATTCAGCATCAATTAGCGTATAGGATGCCTTCACGAGGACGAGCGCCCCATTATAAGCGAGTCAATTCCACCGTAACCCGCGCGCGACAAATTGCTTGCGACACTTCTGGCGACAGAACGCACCATCAACGCGCGCGGCGCGCCTCCTCAGTGATTATTCTCTGTAATGGTCTCGTGTCCGATATCATGATTACGTTATGAGTGAGCAGAAGGTAAGTGAGAAAATGCTGCGCTGCTCTACCTCTATCAAAAAAGATAGGAAGAATTTGAGTGCCTTCAAGAAGAACTATAAAGGCACGTAACGACTAGGAAGTTACTTCGTTCATAAATTGAAACTAGAAAATGTACCTATCCACAATTTTCAATAGCTGTATAGCCAATTTTTAGACGAATTATTTGCAGTATACATAGCTCCTTTAGACTGCACTCGACAAAAATTTTACTGCTCTCAATTTGTGAAACTCTGAGAAGTCGAAAGCTAATCTCGCCAGGTCTAAATTCACAAATCTTATAGGTTATAGGTGCCGCTAGTTCCCAACATAAGCGAAAGAGGACAGTTTGCGTGGATCACAATATGTTGCGCTGAGCTGGATGAAATCGTAATTTCAGTATAGTCACTATTTTTGTATGAAGGTTGGATAGAGCTGCAGGTGAATAAAAGCGATCATATGAAAGTTACCTAAATTATCGTCGACTTATTTCATGTTAATGAAGACTGCTGCTGCTAATTATCAAATCTGGCTTAAAAAATCCATCCGAAATTTACAAAAATCCGTCTGTTTCATTTAGAGGCCTAAAATCCAAGGCTGACGCGTAGAAGACCATCTTGCTCCCTAGTATTTATATGTGGAAAGTAGACTGGTTATTTTTGCTTAATACGTTTCGGACCGCGAAATCGCGCGCGGCGAAAAAGAGGGCACTTTTAGCGGTTAGCCAACAAAGGGACCTCAATTCGCATACTGTGTGCTACATCTGTAATCAGCATGTCATATAAGATTCATACCCAACGTTCTTAGTGAATTCGAAGTGTTTGAATTTTGTCGCCTGAGAAGGACTTCTGTGCCTTCTTGAAAGATAGGAGCAAGAACTCAGTTTCTAGTAGTATCCAAAAGTACCTATGTTGTGGTACACCAGTATTGAAACTACGGTTATTCGCTTTGATATTGAAGCAAGGAAAAGTTGCGACGTCGCACGCATCGTTCGCGTTGCCGCGCTTAGTTGCAACTGATGTTCGATTTGTGCTCATATCTCCTAAACGAATATTGACGGCACGACTCTACAGAGTCAGCTGAAAAGTAGAAGCTTAGGCCTTTGATTTGATAATCTTGGACTAAAAGAAAACTTCCTGTAAACGTCAAAAAGATCCTTCAAACCGGTCCGAAACGTGTTAAACTATGACAGCTATTAGGTTGGGAATAAAAGAATGTCGTTTTTTGAGGCAATGTCTCAAGACAAACAAGAAAAAATATGTGAGGTAATATTCATTAGAGCTAAGCAAGCTCTACAGAGGACCTTTGCACATTCGAGTATGTGTGATTAGCGCAAAGTTTGAAGCCAAAATATAAGACCCATGGTGCCAAAAATCGGGTCTTCCCCAAAGGATTTTCAAATTACTCACTCAATCCTGCACGTAGCAGGCATATGAACTTATCCATTTGTACACTTCCTTTTTTCACTGTTGAAAATCGAGAAAATGAAGAGCATAAAATGACAAACTCCGCCCCTAGAATCCGGGGTTCTACTCACGCAATTGTGCACTGCGAACTTTTTGAATTTCAAAGATAAAATTTTTCTTTCGCATATGCCGTTCATGGAAGATATCAACTTTACGCGACAAACCCAGAGGAAGCAATAGTCTTTTCTTTCCAGCCTGATGGTGACAGATTTAGGAAGCTTCGCCAAGACTTGCACTCGACATCACAAGTTCATTATAAACATTCTAAATGTGTAAAAACAGCTTTAGTTTTTCTCAAGCAGGAGAACAATATGCGTAAACTGAAAAAATACTCTTCATTCATTAGCCCACGCACGCTTCACTCAGGTCGCCCCGTAAAAAAGTTTGTTATCCTCACGCTTATAATTTAGCTCTGACGGAAACGATGTCGCCGAACCGCGCGTAGGCTAATTTTGATTTATTTCCAACTTCGCTTAGAAGAAAATTTCTAAAAACTGCTCATTTATTCGCTTAGATTATTGATTGCTCGGAAAATATATTGGAAGCAAAGCATAGTATTACTAGGATTAATACGAATGTTGAGATAAATCGATTATATAGATTCCTGGGTCAAAAAAGAGGAAAATGGAAGAAACGTTGGGCCTCTTTTTACGATTAAATCTAACCAGGGATCAATACTCTAATATTAGTTGATAAAAGACATACTATTCTTTAATAAACCTTAACACCGTCAACATGGCAGATTTAACTATCTTTACCAAAAAAACAGCTTGAAAATTTCAACCACAACGTATTGCTTTTACATAATTTACTTTAGCAGTCAATCTATTCGCTTCTCCCTCAAAAAGACTCCACAGTTCTAACGAAGTGCGTAATGCAAACTCTCGCGTTCCCATACTTATCCTAGCAAAGTTCGTTTATTGTACGGAAGCTAGAAGTCAGAGTACTTCCCCAATACAGATGATATGCCGTTAAAAGCCCTCATTAGTGAAATCCCAACGGAGTAAAGATAAATTGGATAATTGACAACGTAAAGGTACGAAACATTATAAGTTTATCACTTGATTTCTACCGTAATGCCCGCGTAAGTGGGAGGAGTTGATCACATACTGAAAAAGTACAAAGAACTTGGTTTAGTAAGCTTGCAGCGATTCTGCAAAATGGCAGCTAACCTCGAGAACGTTACAGAATGAGTACTTGTAAGTCATTAACATTAGTCGAGAAGGCAGAAAATATGAATTTTTGGTGTTCTATTGAACAAAAGCATTAGAAAAAAATTTGATTACAGGCTGAAATTGTGACAAAAGCAAACGTTCTCATCACTGTGTCTGATTTGAATAGCAGCTTATTTGTTGAGTAAAAAGAGATTGTACCATCTAGCTGGATATGCAATCCTTCTTAAAAAAACGTGTGACACTATGGGCATTCTATCTGTTGAACCTAATAAATTTTTTTAGGTATGCAGATTTTTTTTTCAAAGTTTGCTGGAGTAAATGTATATTACATAATTGAGTGAATGCATATTATTTTGTAAACATCATTTAGTAGAAAGAGGTGGCATCTCAA